TGTTTCACTCCACAATAGGAAACAGAAAATTGTAAGACGCTAGCTCAGTCTGGTCTCTGACTTACACGTCTTAGCCGAACCACAGGGCGTTTGGTAGAACCGAACGTTTGGCACGAGTCACAGACCTTAATAAAAGGGACTCAATACCGCGATGCTAGCATTCCCACGTCTTGCACATGTCATTCCAATGCTGGCGCTGCTTTATTTGGTTTGGTCAACATGGTTTCGTGATCTCGTTACTTATCTGGTTAAAAAAAATTGCACTTCGTAGCTTTTTACTGATCATTTAAAAGCATTTGCTAGTGCTTTCCTTCTAGCAAAATGACACTTCGAACATTTTTGCAGCAGGTTACGTGGCATGGTTGCAGTGACCAGATCTATTTTATCCCCATCTACTGATCATATTTCAATGAAACTTTGAGCATGAAATGAAATAATTATTCCGGTGTGTTTAGCTTGTGACAAATTTTAAAATTTCGACTCCAATCACAAGTCACACAGCAATACGTGCAAGAATTTCCTGTGGCCAACAAATTCTTCCGAATTACTTAGCAAATCTTAATAAACTCAAGAACACGGACTCACTAAAGCTTTTTCGCATGTGTTAAGATAGCAATATTTTTTCCGATTACCGCTGCATTCTCAAGTTATATAGCTGATCTTTAGACATTCATATGAGAAGAGCTATAAACTATAGGGAAGGAATAAATTTCGAATAGAACGTCGACTTAAAGCCTTCAAGTTTGAGGTCTAGATTCTAGAAATTTATTACTTGCTACGTACGGTCAGCATGTTATGAATGTAATAGTTTAAATTTTTCTCTGAATATCGTTGTGATCGGTTGATATTGGTTATAATTGTGCGATTAATTTTGCCCTTTGTGCGAAAACTACCTCCATTTGTACGAATGGTATGAAGGTTACAAAAGAGGCACACAGAAAATTTTATTGTCAAGTTTCAACTTGAAAAGAAGTCAACAACCAGCGCCATCTGTCGGATTTTTCTTCTAAGCTTGAACACATACGACAGACTCACTGAACCAAAATTTTGTAAACTTGTGACTGATAATTGGCAGATGCTGCCTTGAACATTTCTGTTTCCAGTGGTGGCATGACTGGCATCTGAAACCAAAAAAATGCACGAGTGATAGCAGTCAGTGTATAATTTTTTAAAAATATCGTGTATTAAATTATTCATTGTCATTGAAAAATATATATTTACAATTAATCCAGGTTTGGAGTCGTTGTAATGGCCAAAAAATGGTCGTTAACTTTACAAAAAAGTCGTTGAAATTCCAACGACTCTTGCCACTTTATGAAACCTGGCACGAGACGAGATGAGACGAGGAATGAGATGAGATGAGCTGAGGCATGAGACGAGATGAGGCACGAGACGAGATGAGATGAGGCATGAGACGAGATGAGACAAGGCATGAGACGAGATGAGACAAGGCACAAGGCGTGATGTGACGAGGCATGAGACGAGATGAGACAAGGCACAAGACGAGATGATGAGATGAGATGAGACAAGGCACAAGACGGGAAGAGACGTGACATGACGATGATCATATTTAATATTATTATTAATATCAATATTCACTAATATTTATTATAATTAGTTAAGAATTAATATTAATAAAAGTTAATAATATTATTATTACTAGTAAACTTTATTTGTGTATTCTATTTAATGTCATATTTTAAGCTCAATTATGGTGCCAAGGCCATGAAACTGAAATTTATTCCATCCAATTCTGCCTTTAAGTTAAGTTATAGCATTCATATCTAGCAGTTGCACCCATTTCCCCCACCCACCTGCAGTCAAAGTCTCAACCAAAATGTTTTATTCTAGTTAGAATCGATAGGGTAAACGCAGTATATTCCATCACATTAAGGACGCATCGAGAAATGAAAAACTATAAAAAAATAACCGTATGCATTACTCAAGTTCTGTTTGCTTTAGGCGACTCTCAAAACGCCGTAGTACGCGTCGGCAACGATGAAACGTCACAAAATGTTGCCATATTTATGTAAAAGCCTTTAGAATGCAAACCTACCAAATCCCTATATTCTGTCACTGTGTGTGGCAATATTTATCACGTGGTGAGGCGTATTCCGTCCGCGCTTCAAATTCTACTGATACGTAATGCCGTCATCCACGTGTTCGAATTCCGTTTGCTGTGTGAGCTGTATTGGAATACAACACGGCTTTGAATTAGAACACTATATAATGAATATTGAACACTACTTAATTACGCTTTTAATTAACAACTATTAAGCTTTTAATTAAGCAAATTTTAATTTTTGTACACAGCTTGGAACGATCTGTGTGTGTCCAATTCAAGTTGTGACGGAATTGGTTTTCATGTGTCTAAATCCATTTCTCAACTTAATCATCTATTAATTTATTTACTACTTGAAATCAGCGATTACAAGTATACTTAAAGGATTCCTAATATATTCACAGACGTATTTAAAAGTCTCAAACCATAATATTCTTCCTACACAAACAGTTAGGGTAAACGCGGTATATTCCGACATCGTAGGTAATTCCGTCACCTCTCCAGCTTTTCCTTTATATCAAGCTTTGTTTTAGTTCCATGCGTTCATTGATGGTAAAAGGCTTTTTAATAAATATGGCAACATTTTGTGACATTTCATCATTGCTGACGCGTAGTGAAGTGTTTTGAGAGTCATGTGAAGGCAACAGAACTTACGTAACGCATACGTTTTTTTATAGTTTTTCATTTCTCGATGCGTCCTTAATGTGTCGGAATATACTGCATTTACCCTATTCACTATTTGGTAGAGCAAGGTCAACTGTCAAATTTGACACATTTTTCGATGATCTCACTGGGTAGCGTGCATTGTCTCTCTTTGAATCTCAATATTTTGCAGCTAGATGGCCAAGACCTAGTGTTTTGGCATTAGTTCAACGCGCAAATGTATGACGTCACCATTTCAACCATCAATGAACGCATGGAACTAAAACAAAGCTTAATATAAAGGAAAAACTAGAGAGGTGATGGAATTACCCACGATGACGGAATATACCGCGTTTACCCTAGCCTACCTAGCTACAACATGAGTTTTCCAATGGTACTAAAAACTTTAAAATTGGCTCATAGGACACCTACAAATGATAGTTTTTCCAAAAAAGTGACAGAAGTTGGTCCATTTTTGGGGTGAAATGAAAATAGGAAAAAATTCATATCTTTTTCATTTTTCGACCTACTTCACTCACTTTCATGGTGCAATTACATATCAATTTTAAATTACCTTGGTAATTTGAGTTTTGGGAACGCCGAACTTAAATTAGAGGAGTGGCGGCTTGCTGTTCACAGCCCCCGCGCGCACGGCAGACAACCTCCCACGCTGACAGTCTAGATAACACTGCCTGGCTCACAGCAGTCGTCGTGCAAGCGGTTTTTCAATACAAAATAGTCTTAGAGTGCTAAAAAAGTCCTAACTTACTTACGGAACGCGAAAAGACTCTAATCTTCAAGATCATTTATAAATTAATAAAAGCAACATTCTTCCTTAAACAGACACTGGTATGCACAGGAAAACTTTCGCTAATAATAAGTATGACCTCAGTTACACTTATTTGTTCGTAAAACTTACTGCTTTTTGCTTTTAATTTCTTAATTTTATGTTGAAAGGTACAATGGCGAGCTGTATTGCACTTCACGATTGTTTATACAAGTTTTAACTGATATTACTCAGTAAAATTAAAAAATACTTGAAGAAAAGCCGATTTGTATTATTAAAATTCATCAGAAATTATTTAAACATTACCTATGGCACATTTCAAGTTATAAAAATAAAAAAAGCCACTGTCTAATGACATTTCAACGCTAGAAGATTATTGACAGCACTTAAAGTAAATATGAGGATGCAACTCAACGATCGAGTTCTCTCAAAAAAAATTTTTGGAAAGTATTTTTCTTGTGAGAATCACATCGTTCTATTAAATTTTTAAATAATATCATCAGATTTTTTATATACTGATAGTAATTAATTAATGGCTATATCTCAATATTTTTTTAGATGTCAATAAATAGCTTTGTTTCTAATTGGCTTCTCGCTTACGTGTGTGTGAAGCGGGCTTTTTTTAATAAANTAGAGCTGTCTCTTATACACATCTAGATGTGTATAAGAGACAGCCATAAAACCACGGCTCGAAAAATTCAGTCGCGGCTCGCCAAGTAGATATATTCCATACTAGTGCAGAATGGCAGCCATAGTGACAAACCAGAGATTTTTCAGAATAAGTTCATTTCTAATTTCCTCATTTACTCAAGACTTAAACCAATTTATTATGTAAGATAATGCTGGTATCCATGATACTTTACTGGTCTACTTATAGGACTCAAAAATGAACTTGAGGAGTCTAAAAAAACTCTCTGCTTTGCCACTATGATGGCAGCCGATAATCAATATACATAGGAAATAAAATGTATATTTTGAAAGCAAAAATATCAATATATTTTAACTCTTGCGACTGAATTCAAGGCTTTCGACCCTTTTAATACGTGCAAAATTCTTTAAGTGTTGTCTACCTTATTGTCCTTTGTTTATAGTACATTACATCTATAGGGTATTATTGCAGATTAACTACATCCAAAAAAAAGGGTGTTTTTTTAATCATATGTTTTTTGGGGTGTAGATTACGAATCTGAAATCCATTTTTGGCGGTCGGCATCAGAAAACCGATTTTTTTCGCGACTTACTAACATGGGGGACTAAAAAACCACCATGGACTGCCTGCAAGGCTGCGGAGTGCCTGCTGGAGTCTGCTGGGGCTAAATGCCCAAGGATTTGCTAAAAAACCACCATGCTCACTTTTATGATATTTTTCTAAATTTTTTCTCTTTCCAGTGGTGTAATTTTCATTACGATCAAAGGAAAATTTTTTTTTGTGCACATACCTACACTATGACTATGATAGACTGTCATCTATGAGACCTGGTCCAGTGGTCCACAGGCACTTCTACTTACCTAGGTAAGTAGCTACTCCAGTGACCAGTCTGAGCGCTAACTTCTAAAGTTCTAATCTTAGGCCGTTAGAGCATATGATAATAAGGACTAAGGAGTTACAACTTACAAGTCTCCTCATGATTAAGAGATTACTGAATAAAAACAGAGCAAAAAAACGTACTTGTTTTTTGAAGTATCTGACGATTTGAGAACTACTAATTGTTTAATTTGTTTTTATTCGCACAGTACACCAGCACTGATGACGTACAGCTACTTCCACTGAAAATCAAAATGGAGGTGAAAGTCTTATAGATCTCAAGCCGAAAGTCAATCACAGAAAAATCTTCAGGATTTAATATAGAAAATATGTTTAAGACAGGTACTTATCGAAAGGATGTCAAACGTTTTGCATTATGTACCTAAATAGTTTGTAAACCTGTTTTTCTTAACATAGTTTACAATTCTTTACAAGTTACTGTATGGTGTTTCATAGAAGTCTAAACTCACTCCAAACATGCAGGGTACAACTGATCAAATTTTCCAAAATTTAAAACATTTGAAAAATCTAATGTGGAAATCGATTATATTATGTCATGTCTATTGAAATTAACAATATTATCTGGACCTGTGAGGACCTAACTCGGTAGGATAAATAATAAAGGAAAATTTCTGAGTTTCCTTACCATAATGGGAGATTACCATAATATATTAATTCCATATTGACCTACAGCTACAATTAACGAGTAGATAATATTTTTGGACATATAATTATTCGCTTCTTAAATAGTATCAAGTATTCACGTGAGCACCCAAAAAATACAGACTTTGTGCTGCTACCCATGCCACGGAGTTCAAAATTTTGTCTAGGTCTTTTTAATTGAAAACTTGTTTCAATCATTATTACATGGACGCTTGCATTCCGATTCAAGGACGTTTTTCCACGTAAATATTTCCTGTACAAAAAAAGCAAGCTACAACCACAGCGTAATCCGAATTAACGCATCGGAAAGAATTTTTATGGGCTGTAGAAAAATAAAACCAGTAGAGAGCTGCGGCTGAGGAACGCGTGTAATAAATTGCGATAAAATGAGTGAAGTCATAATTTCAACTTTTCAAGTAATGAAAATTTGATAATAAATTATTGAATAAGCCATATGAAATTCTCACTATTCGAGGGCCTCATAGAGGAGTTGAGGAAGGCGCACGAGCCAATTCTACAATAAACGTCGAAACCGTATCAACTAAAAATCTTTTCATATGTAAGAGAACGATTGGCAGAACTGATCGGCTGATTATACTTATTAGTAGTTGAGTAGAAGTTGCACGGCGCTGAAGAGAAATGAACGCTATTGGCTGCAGATCTTGGAGACACCAAGTGACGCCGCAATCAGCATCTTGTGTTGTGGAGCGAGGTCGGCAATCGCAGCTAAAAAGTGAACGCCCGTCTTTAATATGTCAAAACTGGAGTGCAGAGTATAAATATACCGGCGAAAAGCATGTTTTATGGTAGCATGTCCTACCGAAATTACAATTTTTTGATTGTCAGTCTAGCAGCATGTGGAATAGCAGTTACGATGGAAGAACCAAGGGCAGAACACCTTTGTTGGCAAAGTACTGTATCTGGGGGTTGTAGAGGACACCGTGTAAAGAGGTGGGCAAGAAGAGTGGACTGTCAGTGTTACGTGCTTACGTATTATGATCAAATTCAAGTCAATATTGTCAATAGTATATCAATGTAAGGCCTGCAAGCCTTTTTCCTTCAGTTGTATACCAGATTCCACCAAGTACAGTTCCCTAACCTCTAGTCTCGTTTCTGCCCATCTTCCTCCTTAGCTGGGACTTTCAAGTCATACGACTAGCAAACGTAACAGTCAGTGCTCAGGGACGGTAAGTTCATGATCTCCAATGAAATACTTGAATAAGTTATATTTCCCAATACAGGATGCAAATGTCTGTAACTGCTCGAGAGAGAAAGACACATGCCTGCATAGGAGACTTTTTAGGCTTGCTGGACAACTGACGAGAAAGATATCGACCATCTTGATCTGATTTATTCTCATTCAGTGATCACTGAAATTTGTTGTTGGTCTTTGGAATCAAAAGCCATTTCTTCAAGGAGAGTTTCCGTTTGACTGGAAGGATGAAGCTTAGAGAGTAGGAAAGGACGTGAATGAGCAATGCACCCAATTAAGTAGGAGTGTTGCATTTGACTGCACGCAAGGAAGCTCTTATAGAGTAGGAGAGGACGTGAAGGAGTAACGTATATAATCAAGTAAGAGTGTTGCGTTTGACTGGATAGTGGACGCAAAGAAGCTCTTATAGAATAGGAGAGGACGTGAAGGAGTAACGCACCTAATCAAGTAAGAGTGTTGCGTTTGACTGGGAGCGTTAGGGCAAGTGCCGCGTGATTGGTCGGAGGTGGTCACGAGATAGTCCACGCCGGCAGCATGCGAGGCTCTTAGCCTAATGAGTATTCGTCTTTTGTGACGCGCCGATAAGTAATAAAGAAGCGATGGCCAGCGAGAATCGCAATCATGACACATACACAATGTATAGTGATAACAACAATCAAGAGTATAATAATGACTCGCTAATATTTTCAGTTATGTAGCATTTTTTGGAGTAAATATTAAATTGCAGGAATATAAGTAAAATTGAAAATAACAAATACTAGGGTCAATCGTCGTTGCGAGTTATTATGCCACTGTAAATTTTAGAAATTATCATTTATGTACTTATATGATTTTGATGTGTAAGTATTATGAGGTAGTAGTATTTGTGGTATAGTATAAGTATTAAAGCTTTGTATATTTGATGCAAATCGAGACTTCATCGATTCCAGTAACAAATTTGTGGTGATAATTAACATGCTCTTAATTCAAATCTTAATAATTGAATTCATTTGCGACTGTGCTGGCAAGCACGAGTTATATAATTGGACTTGATTGGATGCGAGGCGGCAATCAAGCCGAACCAATCAGGTCTCAGCTTTGTCCAGTGAAGTGTGCTTTTCTATATAGGATTCCAAACTTGACATGTTCCAGAAAACTGGGTACGACCTCTACAAATTTCTATCTGAATATTTTATTACGAACAGAAGTGAGAGTGTAAAGAGTTGGCTTCATTTAATGTGTTCATCAGGACAGTCATTTTCATGGAACACATTTTAATGTTTGCCTCCGTTTGTCGCATGAGATATGAATACTTGGGTTGCAAATAATTCATAGCCATGAATATACCGACCAGAATGTTGGTTCCTGGACACAGTGCTATGAATATACTGACTAGTTGGTTCGTAAATGCATTGCTACAAAAATAGATATCATCATGTTGGTTCTTAAATACATTGATACGAATATGCCAGAGAAGTTCCTGTAGTGCCGGTATTCCTACATAGGGTCAAACGGCCTGCCATGGATGTATTGCTCATTATACGGCAAATATTACGAGTTGTCGGCCCTTCCTTGACCCTGGGACCCAATTAGAGTTTATACGCATTATTGTTCCTCCCTGAACGGCGGCTGTGGGACGCAATAAGACGTATCGGGACGCGTCATTTCTCGCCTAATTGGCACAATTGCCGTTTTCCCCGAAAGCTCTTGGACCAGCAGCTACGTAGGGACAACTCCACTTTTCGGGACAGTCCCTCGACTCTCGGTTTTTGTAGCAGATTTCAGGTGCGTATTTTTTTACTAGCCATTCCTGACGACGAGAGATTTTTACGAGCTTTACTGAACGACACGGAATGCAAGAGTTTCTGGTTTGGTAGTGTTTTATGTGTAATTGATCAATATTGCTTCCAGGTATCACACATAACTTTCGATATAATCATTGAACTTGAGCCGAAAATAAGAGCTTTGTGACGAGGAAATTATTCAAGGTTCACGAAACACGCTCGAAATTCAAACGTTGAATTTAAGCTTCTAGAATCATCCATCGATTGTTGTCCATCTCGAACACGCGCCGTACTATCGCATCATGCGCACTCAAGTCTTATCATCCAATAAGAAAATTAAAATAATTTTCTATGCATCAAATGCGGAATCGACGAACCATGATACAATATAATATAACATAGAATTTAAAAGCAAAGAAAAGTCCACAAAAATTCATATCTTTATAGAAATCGTTTCGGAGACCAGCTCCATCGTCAGTTCGTAGAATCTATAGAATCACAAATCGGAAGTCACAAATTAATACATTGAAAGCACAATGTTTGAAACGTGCTTTCAAACGTGCTTTCCGAAACGTTTTCTATAAAGATATGAATTTTTGTGGACTTTTCTTTGCTTTTAAATTCTTAGTTAATTTGCGATTTAAGCAAACAAGTGATATAAATACAATATAACATTTAATGAAGCCACAACCTTGGGAACATGAGAACCTTATTTTACCAGATCGAACACGCAATTCAGGTACAAATAACGTGGGTAAGAGGAGGGCGTTCAAGAGATATTGTAAGTTCTAATTAAATTAACGTGTATTTTACGTGCTGATCCTTATAAATGTGCGCAGCTTGTTCCCGGGCGCGTGAGTACACCGGAGGGCGTTGTCTGCCGCGTGCCATGCTCGTGTTATGCGACGCATCATTTAATACAGGCATTAAAATCACTTGACTGCTTAAATCGCAAGTTTATCAAAAATTTAAAAGCAAAGAAAATAGACAGAAAATTCACCATTTCTTAAAAAGGAAACGTTTTCTCCGAAACGTTTTCCTTTTTAAGAAATGGTGAATTTTCTGGCTATTTTCTTTGCTTTTAAATTTTTGTTAATACAGGCATGTCTGTGGACTTGATGTATACATGGTATCTATACATGTGATGCCTGAGGGGTACATGGTATCTATACATGTGATGCCTGGGGGTTACATGGTATCTGTACATGTGATGCCTGAGGGGTACATGGTATCTGTACATGTGATGCCTGAGGGGTACATGGTATCTATACATGCGATGCCTGAGGGTTACATGGTATCTATACATGCGATGCCTGAGGGTTACATGGTATCTATACATGTGATGCCTGGGGGTTACATGGTATCTGTACATGTGATGCCTGAGGGTTACAAGGCGTCTATACATGCGATGCCTGAGGGATACATGGAATATATGCATGTAATTCTTAAGGGATACATGGAATCTATACAAATGCTTGGG